TTCACACACATGTTACGAACGCTTTGATTGGCCTGGGCGATGGTGATGGTAGGGTTAGCCTTAAGGAGCAGGTCTACACTGGCGCGGAGTTCATCCGCACTTGGAAGGCCATGTTTGATGGACAAACGCAATGCCGCTACAGAGTAGGCTGGTGCGCCCTTCTCACGTTTCCGGAAAGTCCATCCTGCACGCCAAGGCAGGGAGGCGCAGACTGCACGATGTTTCGGTCCCCGCCTCCATGGTGACATGTCGAACTCTTGTGGCGCAGCTTGGCGCGCTTTGGTGTCCGCAACTGGACGGCGCGTCGCTATAAAGTCAATCTGGCTTCTAGCATTATGACTGCTGAACGTGTGACTAACGCGCGGGTGAGCCCTTCCCCATGTGTTCAACAGAACAAGATCATGTTGTTGCAGGAGTTGAACAAAATCAGGGTCAGGATTATGGTGGGTTTTCATAACTCCGCGACCTATTAGGCCTCGTACAGGGTGGCAGTGTGTGTTGAGATCTGCGCCGACAACCAGTAAGTTGCGCTGCGGCAGGCCCTGTAGGAGCCCACCCAGCTTCATCCAGAATTCGTCACGGAGTCCTGCTGACTTCGCCGCGGCTCCATCCTGCCAAACAGCCTGATATCCACAAATGAAGTCGACAGTAAGGCGCGGAGTGCTGCACTTGACTTGCAGCAGTCTTCCAGGGAGAATTGTGCAGTGGCTTGCAGTAGCCTGAGCCATGATGCGTTCCGACAGAGCGATGCCAACCCCCGCGAATCTGTTTTTAGGGTCAGCACTCATGAAGAAATGCCATCCATGGATTTTCCAGCTTCCGTCAGTTTTTCCGCAGCCCCAGTGCAGCTCTTGCACCATCACGACATCGTCCTGACAGTGATGCTTTAGCCAGTGACAGAATACATCGTAGACTTCACTTGTAAAGCCACCAGCGTTGTATGTTCGCACCGTAATGCGTGGTTGAGCCTCCCTGCGCGCCTGCGTAGCTGATCTCCGCATCGGATTTTGCGGAGCCGTTGCTTCGTTCGTCTGCTGAAACCACGTGGTTCCCAACTCGGCTGCCGTCCAGACCCTTCCTCTGTAAGTCGTGGTGCCATGCATCTCAGCCCTTCTGCGGGCTCGTCGGTATGCGCGCTTCCGCGTCCTGGTAAAAGGTACCGCGCGTAGGTCTTCGCCATTCCCTCCAGAGTATTTTGCTCCAGCAGAAGCCAGAGCTCCTGGATCACGTGTGGTGAATGACCCAACCCTCGGGTCTGATCTCTCCGCTGTCCGTCGAGCAGCATCCATTCGTAAGGAGATCTCCGGGATTTGGGACCCGGACAGCCAGAGCGGTGATGTTATGTTGTAGCAGAAACAGATAAAAAGCAGCAGTCGAGGAATGAATGCCATGCACGCCACCGCACGAGAGCCTACTCCTGTTTCCTGTTCAGCTCCAGCCGAGACCCTTAGTCGTAGTAGTCGTAGTAGTGGTAGTAGTGGTAGTAGTGGTAGTAGCGGTAGTAGTGGTAGGAGTGGTAGGAGTGGTAGTAGTGGTAGTAGTGGTGGTAGTGGTGGTAGTAGTGGTAGTGGTAGTGGTAGTGGTAGTGGTAGTGGTAGTAGTGGTAGTAGTAGTCGTCGTCGTGGTGGTGGTGGTAGTGGTAGTGGTAGTGGTAGTGGTAGCAGTAGCAGTAGCAGTAGCAGTAGCAGTAGCAGTCGCAGTCGCAGTCGCAGTCGCAGTCGCAGTCGCAGTAGCAGTAGCAGTAGCAGTAGCAGTAGTAGTGGTAGTAGTAGAGTAGTAGTAGTAGTAGTAGTAGTAGTAGTAGTAGTGGTAGTGGTAGTGGTAGTGGTAGTAGTAGTACTAGTAAAGTAGTAGATACTGGGCCCACTCGGCGCCCGACAGATTCATCGATTCGTAGTTGGAGGGGGTTGGAGGGGTGGGGGGTGGGGGGGTTAATGAGGTGCTTTGCCGAAGAGATCACAGCTCACACCCTGGGCTTGTTTCACCTCAGCACAGCCGTGAACTTCGAAGTCTGCTGAAACTGGACTTTGCCCTCACCAGTTGCTGGAAGCAGACTGCCCACGGGCCAAGCTAGCTTTAATCTGCCCATACTCTTGTCTGAGTGAGGAAGGTTTCTCAGAGATGTTCTCACAGGTTTCTCAAAGCTTTCTCACTGGTTTCTCACAGGTTTCTCAGAACTTTCTCACAGGTTTCTCAATAGCTTCTCAAATGTTTCTCAGGGGCTTCTCACAGATTTCTCACAAGTTTCTCACAGCTTCCTCACAGGTTTTTCAAAGCTTTCTCACAGGTTTCTCAAAGCTTTTTCAAAGGTTTCTCAAAGCTTTCTCACAGGTTCTCAGAACTCCCTCGCAGGTTTCCCACAGCTTTCTCAATAGCTTCTCACGTGTTTCTCTAGGGCTTCTCACAGCTTTCTCAAAGCTTTCTCCCCGGTTTCTCAAAGCTTTAAGTAGCAGTAGTCGTAGTAGTAGGAGTAGGACAGGAGTAGGAGTAGTAGGAGCAGTAGGAGCAGTAGGAGTAGTAGGAGTAGTAGGAGTAGTAGGAGTAGTAGGAGTAGTAGGAGTAGTAGGAGTAGTAGTAGTAGTAGTAGTAGTAAGAGTAGGAGTAGGAGCGGGAGCAGGAGTTGGAGTAGTAGTGGTCGTGGTAGTGAGAGTAATAGCACAGGAATAGTAATAGTAATAGTAAGAGTAGGAGTTGGAGTAGTAGTGGTCGTGGAGTAGGAGTGAGTAAGGGTAAGACGAAGAGTATAGAAGAGTAAGAGTAATGGTAAAAGTATTCGTAGTCTATCGTAATAGTAATAATAGCAGTCACAGTTAAGTCATAGTACTAGTAACAGTAATGGTAATGGTAACAGTAACAGTGGTAGTCATAAAAGTGCGAAAACGGCCAAACGCGCACATGCGATAAACTCGAAAGCACAAAAAGCGTGAAACGACACAACAAAAAACGCTAAAACACACAGTCACACAGACCCGCGAAAAGTTCGAAACAGTCGAAAACGCGAAAAATACGAAAACCGCGACAAGTAGCAATAGAAATACCGGTAGTAATGGTAATGGCAATAATAGAAACAACGTACTAGTACTAGTAACAGTAACAGTAACAGTAGTAGTAAAGTAGTAGCAATAGCTACAGTAGTAGTGGTAGTAGTAGTAGTAGTAGTAGTAGCAGTAGCAGTAGCAGTAGCAGTAGCAGTAGCAGTAGCAGTAGCAGTAGCAGTAGCAGTAGCAGTAGTAGCAGTAGTTGCAGCAGTAGTAGTAGTAGTAGTAGTAGTAGTAGTAGTAGTAGTAGTTGTTGTTGTTGTAGTTGTAGTTGGTACAGACAAAAACAGCAGCCCGTACTTGTTGTTAATTAGAAGCAATTGGGAATGCTTCCGGCGACCGCATAGGGTGCCTGTAGAGTTTTGGGAAGTTCAAGCCATGCCTGCCCCATGATAGAAATGCGGTGTAGGCTGGGTGGTTGTTGTAAAAGGGGGGGTCAAAACAACAGACGGGGCTCCAGTTTTTGCCTCTACTACAGGGGGTAGAGACAAAGCCACCAGCGAAATCAGGACTTTGTCTCTACCCCCTGTAGTAGAGGCAAAAACTGGAGCCCCGTCTGTTGTTTTGACCACCCCCCTTTACAACAACCGCCCGCATTACACCACATTTCCACCACAGGTATAGGAATCTGCGATATCCAGAAGGGGTTCTGATGGGTGTTGGAGGGGCTTGTCTGGAATTTTGAGAGGTTTGCATTGGATACCCATACACTCAAAACTATAGTTAGCAGTTACTATACAGTAGTTTGTTCTTGCCTCGCAAATGCATATTCTGCACGGTGGGGAACTGAAATACACACCAAATCCATTGAAAATACACACCAAACTCATTGAAATGCACACCAAAAGCACTGAAATACACACCAAATCCACTGAAATACACATCAAATACACACCAAATCCACCGAAATACACATTAAATCCACTGAAATAATTGAAATACACACCAAATCCATTGAAATACACACCAAATCCATTGAAATACACACGAAATCCATTGAAATACACACGAAATCCATTGAAATACACAGAATCCATTGAAATACACACCAAATCCATTGAACTCCGCACCAAATCCATTGAAATACACGCGCAATCCACTGAAATACACGCGAAATCCACTGAAATACACACGAAATCCACTGAAATACACACGAAATCCATTGAAATACACACCAAACAGTATACATCACAGGCATCCACAGGCACTGTGTTGTTGTTGTTGTTGGTGGGGGGGGGGGTAAAACAACATGACGGGGCTCCTGTTTTTGTCTCTACCTAATGTACAGACAAAAAGCAGATATATGGGTTGACGGGGCTGCAGTTTTTGTTTGTACCTTGTAGTTGTTGTTGTTGTTGTTGTTCATAGTGCCTTTTAGCGGCTTTAGTGTGTTTTGCGTTGTTAGTGTTCTTAGTTTGTTTTTGCGCTGTTCGTGTGATTTTGTGGTTTTTGTGTTTTCTAGACTTTTAGTGTTTTTAGACTTTTTGCGTGCTGCACGCCGACTCCGCTCGTGCACGTCGCGCAACATTCTCGCTTAGACCGTCTTCCTGTCGCGGGGGATGAGAAGAACACACTTGTATATCTCCTTGGCTGTGCCATTTGCAGTCCGGCCACTGACTACATGTGCCAGGTGCTGGCCATGTCGGCTGTGAACCAGGCGGTGCGATCCCTCCGGCGCCTCCATCCTGGCGGTCGATGCTTGACAGAGCGGATACAGGCTCGTGACAGGGGACAGGGGAATACTAGTGACACCACTCATGAGAACTTCCCGTCGACTTACTGTCGATTTGTGTTCAGATTGTTCAGAAACGGGCGATGTGTTGTGTCATGTATGTCATAGGTCAGGCGCTGAGCAAGCGAAGTGAAACGCTTTCAGAGCCGGAACGGTTCCCTGGAGCGAACTGAATGCCAGACCACGTAAACTCCGCGATTGCGACGGAGTTGCAGGCGGTGTGCGGGCAAATGTCACGCTGGGACTGGGTCCCCATTGCCTCCTGGGCTTACGTCATGGCTGTAATCCTGATCTTGCTCCTTGGATTGTTCGACGTTATGGTTCACTGAAGATGAGGATGTCTCAGAAATACAGACTCTGGAGCGTGCATGCCCCCAGGTACAAGATTATTCCGATCTTTCTCAACGTGCTGCTGGCTTGGCTCAAGTCCTTCGTAACAAACCTCCCGTTCGTGGGCATCCTCGGCTTCACCTTTGCGGCTGGCATGTTCCTCTTCATGTTGCCCCCGGTGCCTCAGATGCAGTCAGCACTGGCAACAAAAGAAGACCGATACCGGTGGAGCGCAAGCAAGACGCCCTCTTAAAGCAACGCCAGCATCAGGTTCCAGGACCGCCAATATACCTTTTCGGTGGCCTTGTCATTTCTGGCCGCAGTCCCTATGGCTTCTGGTGGGGCTGTGCAGCTGGGCAGCACTTCCGGGAGCAAGCCATGCTGGATGACAGCAGTGACAGCATCGCAGAGCCACGGGCAGGAAACATGTTGAGTGTACAAGTTGCAGGTCATCTGCATCGTCCTCTGCATCGTGCTTAAGCTAGCTGCTTGTGCCATCCAGCAGAAAATCATTGGACAAATGCTGGGGAGTCGCCAGTCCATTCGCCGCATGGTTGGTACCTGGCCTTGCAACATGATACATTCCATTGTGCTCTCACCAGCAAAAGATTCCTCGTCCACCCATTTCAGCTGCTAGCATGTCTGGCATCGAGGCATTCACCGACCTTTCATGCGCGCGATCGAATCTATCCTCCGAAGGCCTGGTATGAACTTCGGGAAGTGCATGATTCTCTGCAGCCCGTCCGCAGAAGTGAAGCTAGTAGCACAAGCAAGGCGTACCGCGACCGATCATTCAAACAAGCTGCTTTTACACCTGGAGCTCTGCCGGTAGCAGCTGAGGCGGTGGTCCAGATTGGCCGACGTCAGTGTTCCCTGCATTAAAGCAACAATCCTTTGACTGGGCGAGTTAATCACAGCATAGAATGTCGTACCGGAAGACATCTCTTGTTAGCCCAGGCTGGCAGGAATCATGCGTATCTCGCTACTCCAATGCACCATCGGCACACTGCCAGTGTCTGGTCAGCAGTTTCATGCGTGCAGCAGGTGGGTCCCGTCTGCAGCCGAATCGAAGCCAGGTGATCTTCTCTACAATCCCGCTGGCCCTGACTGGCAGCTTCTATCTGAAACGGGACGAGAGCGAAGTCTGGGCTAGGGCCGGCAATCTGATGTTCTCGCTGACGGCCATGGTCTCTGTAACTTTCTGGGCCGGGATGGGCTGGGCGATCCAGGATGCCTTCGACAAGCTGAACGACCAGATCCATGCGCCGAAGGTGGAGTTTGTGGAGTTGGATTGGTTGGACTACTGCGAGGACCGTATCAAGGAGAAGTGTCAGCTGAAGGCCGGAGACCTCCCGGCTTCGGTACGATTCTGCCACTTCGGTGGTGCCCTGCTGATGGTCTTTGTGGCACAGGTATTCTTCTGGAGGGCTGGCATGTGCTTTGGCACCTTCAAAGTCACCGATGACCTGGAGGGCTTGAAATGGTGGCCCTGGAGCGAAGGTTCCGGAAAGCCAATGATAAACCAATATGGCTTAGCTGGCCTTTTTTTGATACTTGTTTCTTTTGTGCTGCTGTTCCTCTCGCGTGCCTGGCGGGGCCGTCACAATGCTCAGACGAGGGTGCACGTCATGAAGGAGCTTCATGGAGAAGAGGAAGCGTGGAAGCAGCGAAGGACAGAGGAGGCTGAGAATTGGGTGCCGCCGAGAAGTGTTAGTGGATCGCCAATCATTCGGAGTGCCTTGGCCAAGCCAATGCCCGACTCGGACAGTGTGGTGAATGTGGTAGCCGCAGCGTTAGAGGGAGCAGAATTTGCAGATGCGAAAGCCTTGACGAAGCTTGGGCTGGACGATCAGCCAATGGAGACCGAGACACAAGTTCCCGACGATGAGTTCTCATCCTTGCCTCAGAAGCCCACCATGACCGCCATGACTCCGGGTGCAACGGTAATTGGTCGGCCTCCCGTGGTAAGCGATGACAGCTCCACTGATCCTGGGCCGAGCCCACCACGCACATCAATCAGGCTTTAGCTACATCTACAGAGTTGCGAGAGTGTGTAGCAGCGTGCTGAATCAACATAGAGACGCGACGGTATGTGACATGTGGCGTAATTCCCACCTCTTTACATTACACAGAGTCTCACGATGTATCACTTGCAATCATGCGCGGAGTGCTCACAGGACACGTTTCTGGCTGTAAGAGCCAGAGGGCGTGCCCGGGTGTGTTAAAAGTTCTATGTGTTATGTTTGTTGCTGTGCTATGCCAGAAGACTCTCAAGACAGAAGACGTCGTCCATGTAAAAAGTCATGTTTTGGCCCCAGGCTGGCAGATTTGAGGCACCAATGGCAGGCAAGTTTTTTACAGCTCAAGGCAGACGGTCCTGGGCAGACTTCAGGTCAAGACTCTGGGAACCAAGGGCAGCATAGGCCTTCGCCCATGCAACGCCTTCTTGAAGTCTGCCCAGGCTTAACCCTGTCAGGTGCCCAGAGAGCCCTCTGCCGCGCGCAATTCGACTCTCCAACAGAGTACGACAACCCGTTAGACTAGGTTCGGCACAGCCAAGAGCAGTCTGCGTCGATTCTGGCTGCACCGAGCCGAGCCCACGATCCCGACGGAGTACGTAAAAGAATGCTTCCTTGGTGGCCACAGTCGGTGCGGCTTTCGAGGGGGATGCCGAGCACTCGGTCAGGCCGAAGTGGAAAATCATAGCGCAAATCCAGTTGTTGCAAATGTTTTGCCTTCGAGATGCCCGTGGTGCAAATCCGACAGCTCCTGATTGTAAAGAAGCTTCAGGTCTCTCAGTGGAGAAACTCTACAACCAGGCGCCTCTTGTGTCCTGCGTGCACGTTTTTGTCTTGCTCAAAGGGTCTGCGATTCCCCGCCTTGCAGAGAGCAGAAGCGGTCAAAATACCTGTCAGCCTCGCATGCGACACGAGGAGTCCAAACTGATCATGAATCACGAGTGTAACTTCAAGATCAAAAAGTCTTGAGCTTTTGCGTGGCTGTCCTTCGTTCATCCCTGAAGTCACACTGAAATCTCGTCAGGACATACGTCTCCTGCGCTTGTGGGTTCGGGTCTCAGTCTCGAGGCAGTCTTAGCGGAATGTTGGTCATGCAAATTCGTGTGAATGCCCGGTGCTGCTGCTGCTGCTGCGAGTCCTGCGCCGATGACAGCATCTATGGAATGACTGTGACTGTAACATTTACGTAACATGCAGCAGGTCATGTTGGCTGACAAAGAGTCTTCTCCGACGAACATCTTCAGGCAGCTCGAGGCCTTGAAGATGCCAGCAAACCGCCGCACCGATGTTTCTATTCGTGCCCGTGCTTTTTGTCTTGAAGTCTCCGGACGTGTGGAGAGATGTCGACAGGATCGAGGGATTGGCACGCACCATGCTCTTCTCTATGAAGCTTGGGCACACTGCCTAGAGACGCCAGCGCCCATGTTTCTGCGGCTAGGCAACAGCATGAAAGTTCAAGCTGGCCTTCAAATCTTGTCGCCGAGGCGCCGCGACTTCGAAGCAGCTGCGGAAGTGCTATGGGCCCAGCCTAGGAACCCCAAGCTCCGGCGTATTTGTGACGACGATGACTTGCTACCTGACAAAGAGTTCACTCAGAGGCAGCGGAAAAGGCAGAATGAGACAGTCAGACAGTTGGCGATGACTCCATACTTGAGGGGCAGGGGACTTGCATCTGTGGAGCCCATCTTCGTGAGCATAGCCCACCATCTCCCAACTAACGCATCCACACGGGGTCGTCGTCAGAGTGTCCATGGACGAAGTGGGGCTCAGGCTGGGAGTCTGTGTCGCTAATCGAATGAGCCATCGAAGAGCAGGATGATCGGGCTGAAGACCATTGACATTGAAGACCCGTAGACTTGCGCGTATTGTAGCAGCACATCAACACCATTCCCTGTTTTGGGTAAGCTTGGAAAAGACCGAGGTATCGTCGGGGACTATGCTCTTCGGCCGAACCTCAGGTAAGGGAGACTGTTGTTCTCGAGAGCCCTTGATACGAACCTGCAGCAAAAGGAGAGATATGATCGCATCGTGCGCGCGTGCACGTGTGTGTGTGTTGTGTGTGTGTGTGTGTAAGCCTCGATTCTAAGCTAGAGGTTTTTGGCATGTGCGATGCAAGTGATTTCCGATGCTACAATGTTCCTTTGTCAGCAGGGGGGCAAGGGCTCCAGTGATCAGCCTTGCCCAACGAAGCCAAATCACTGGAGTGGATGCAGTGGCTGATCACCACTGTGTACCTGCTTTCGGATTAGCCAGTGGGCCCCCTGAGGCACTGGAGTAACCAACACTAGAGTGACAGCTTCATGTTTGCCACAGTCGAGTTCTTGCATGGTTGCTGCAATCTGATCATTCAGGTGTGACTTAGGCCTCAGGTGTTCGTCGACTTTAGCAACATATTATGACAAAACTGGAAGTGATTGGTTGTGTCCTGATGGACCCCAAACTCCGTGTGTGCGGGTGTGTGTGTGTGTGCTCACTAGCACTCTTTCGTGCAGTCAACAGCTTGTCAACCTTGGCCGTGCCGAGTCCAGTCAGTGTGTGTGCATGTGTGTCAGCTGCACTGCTCTTCCCTGAACATCAGTTGCAGGCGCGCTTGCGGGCTCGGCGAGCAGACTTTGATGCAGGGGCCTGATTCTTCTTTCCGCCATTTTCCCTCGTTCGCTGCCAACGTCAAGTGTTCGGCGCCATTCTGCCGCGTAAGAGCATGGTATTCATTGGTCGCTCAGGAGCGCATGCGCCAGCGCGTCACGCGTCTGGCAGCTCGAAGATCAGAACCGGGACGGCTGGCGCCGCAAAGCCCGAGGCCTCGTGCCGTACGCATGGGCCGCATGGGCACTCTGTGTACAGTCAAAGTTCGAGCCCGTCACAGATCGCGAAGATGCTCACGCTTGAACTTGAAGCGAGGTCAGTTTGCAGATGTGCCTGCCCATTGTCACGAAAGCTAGCTCTGTTGAGCTCGCGGGAGTTGCCCTTTAGCAATTTTCACTTGGTCTACCTTGTATTAAGGCACTAGGGCAAAACCAGGGCTTACACCTTATCAGGTGGGACGTCCAAGAGTTAAGGTGGGGGGGTGGGGGGGAGGAGGGGCCGCCCCCCCCCTCACCTCGCTCATGAAGCATTTTGAAGAGACAAGGTGTGGTTTCCCCCCGCCTCCCCCCCCCACCTTTAAGGTTGCGGCGCGTGGGACAAGGTGGGGGGGGGGCTCCCCCCCCCCCTACCCACAGGTCCCCCCCCCCTCCTTCCACAAGGTCCCTGAGTTTGCTTGTGTTTGAAGTTTATCAACTTGCACTCCAACCGTAACAGAAACTTGTAACCAGCACAAACCTCCAGATCGCAACGCCAACCCGGTGGTTCCCGTTACAGCATGGCGGCAGCACCTTCTAACTGAATGTGGCCTGTTGGCTTCTAATATTACGTCTTAGGGTTACAGAATTTGGGATTGAAAATCCAACGTATCTTTCAGCCAGCTGACACTCCATGAAACTGAACCGAACATACCTTGTCGCCTCGGCCTCGTGTTCGACAGTACTCTCATGTCACATGTGTCCCCCGCCTTACTCAGCCCCAATTGCTCGCAGCTACGCTTCCTCTCCCCTAGCTTTCGTGGCCCTCTTCTCAAGTTGGGATGATTCACACATACCTACAGCATGGATACGTATATGCATGTATGTATGTATGTACGTGTGTATGTATGTATGTATGTACATGCGTGTGTGTCTGTGTGTCTGCATGTTCGTCCGTTCATAATGAAACATGCGCACACGCATGCACGGAGACTGTGCACCTGAAATCTTGTCTGCGAGTTGGTGCATTGAAACCTTGTCTGGCGCATTCGTGCAAACTTGCATTATCTTGCAGTCTGTCTCCTCTTCTGTAGACTAGACTTGCAGGATCCCTGCTGAAACGGACAATGTGAGAGGGCCCACGCAGAGGCGCAGTGCGACGCACTTCCGACTCCGCACCTCGCTGCTGAATCTGAAGCCCTCCAGGCCGGTCTTGGGGGTTTCTGTGCATTGAAACATAGTGTATATAGTATATATTTATATAGAAAGTATAATTACATATATAGCATATATAGCAGCTTGCCTAGGAAGCCCAGAACGAAAGGATGCTTACTCCTAGGGGTCGATCGCTGTGCAGCTCCGAGGGTGCCATGCTACTTGTAGCACATCCTCCAGCGCGGGTGAGCGTGACATAAACACATCTTCTTGATGCGAGATTGCGGCTCGTTATAAGCAACACTCTTGTGACTAATTTTCGCTTTGCGGACCCCGGGATCTTCCCTCTCTAGTCGTAGTTAGTTCGGACGAGTTCCCTGCGGTGCGACATTGTTCAGCTGGGCGGGTGGCAAAATTTTCGCTTTGCAGCAACACGCCTGCATCTCAGTCTTGCCCCCCTGGCCCTCAAGAAGCAACTGAGGCCTCACGCATCAGAGCTGCGAGCGCGGCTGTCACCGCAGAAGCGACAGGCCCTGCACTCCAGAGAACCTCTTGCACTCCACAGCCCCACCATCTGCACTTGGCCACTGTGAGCAGGAGAGGCGCAGATCCATCATGGAGCGACGGAGGAGGTCGGTACTTCTCCGGCCCAAACCACGCCTTCCGAAGGAGAGAGGGTCCAAACGCTTTCAATTACATAGGCAAGTTCGTCTCAGGTTGAACGGCATCGATAAAATCTTGCTCGTGTTTTCTCCATATGCCATGTCGAACGAGTGTTACACAACTCGCCCCTGCAATGTCCGTTTTCAAACACCCATCTGGAAATCGCAATCCCTGGACCACGCCGCTTTTAATGGTTCGCCTGCGGGTCAGACTCGGCGAGTACACAAGCCCGGATGGACGCACTGATTCCTGATTTTCACGAAAGCCGTCATGCTTGGGACGTCGGTTTATCCGAGGCTTGTTTCTCATAGTTAGAGGCTGAATCAGGACATACCTCTGTGTGATCTTGGCCCATCTTCGCCCCTTTGCATGCCTGGTCGTCGAGGAGCCAGCACGTGCGGACGCTGCAAC